AAGATTTCTGAGAAATTCCTATAAACATGCCTTTGGACATATTAAATAGTTTACTATTAAACATTAAGGAATTTTAACTTAGAGTTATAGAAAACTAGAGGCCTGGTGCACAAAATTCGTGCACTCGGTGGGGTGGGGGTAGTCCCTCAGCCCAGCCTGCATCCTCTCATAGTCTGGGAGCTTGCAGGGAGCAGGCTTAAACTGTCAGTCGGACATCCTTAGCGGTTGATTTGCATATTAGCCTTTTATCCCTGCAGGATCAGGCTGAAACTGACATCCCCTGAGGGGTCCTGGATTGCTAGAGGGTGCAGGCCAGGCTGAGGACCCCCACTGGTGCATGATCGGGACCGGGGAGGGACACGGGAGGTTGGCCAGCTGGGGAGGGACCTTGGGAGGACTCTAGGGCATGTCCGGCCCATCTCGCTCAGTCCCAGTTGGCTGGGCCCCAGCAGCAAGCTAGCCTGCTGGTCAGAGCATCTGTCCCCTGGTGGTCAGTGCACGTCATAGCAAGTGGTTGAGTGGCCTTAGCATATCATTAGCATATTACGCTTTGATTGGTTGAATGGACGACCGGACACTTAGCATATTAGGCTTTTAATATATAGGATAACTGATGAAAATATGACATGGCATTTACTCCATGTTTATTATGATACCCTTAAAATGTTTGTAAAAATACAAGTGCCTTTAAAATACTACCTATTTGTAATGTCAGAAGAGGGAGGAACAGATATTAAAGAATTCTTTATTGCTTAAGGTGAAAGCTTATCAGGAAACCCTAGCAAAACTACCCAGTAGGAAAGATCTGCTATAGCTGACAAATCAGGCAACCTCTGAGCCAATAGCCACGTCAGTTCTATTTAATTGGTCCTTGGACCTGCTTTACCTTTAAGTAACTGTGACCTTTTATTTCACTGTTCAGTTCAGCTGGCCTGACTTAAGTGTAAAAAACACATAAGGGACCCATGCTGTAGAGAGAATGTTCTTGGTAGAAAGAAGCAACAGTAATGATGAGACAACTTCTTTTTAAAAATCTTAGCTTTCTGGAAAATAGCAGATTATAGTGGTAAGGACTTTGGAATTAGACAAGCCTGAATTTAAATCCTGGCTCTTCTACTTACCAGCTGTGTGACACCTGGCAGATGGTAAGTATTTAAAAAAGATAGCCATTATTATGACTGTTGCTGTTAACTTCCTTGCAAGATATTTAGATTACTAGACATACTTAGAATGTATGCATCATGTTTTCTGATTTAAAGAGTCAGGAGGAGAGGGAATCAGTTTCTAGAGATCCCAAGAGACAATCTTATATGAGGGCCTATTTGTGTAGAAATTGTTAAAGAGCATTTTAAAAATTGAACTTTTTATTTTGAAATAAAAGTAAAGCCTATAGAAAAGTTGTAAGAATATTAAAATGAACCCCTTTATGCCCTGCCTAGATAACACTGGCCATATTTGCTTTACCTATTTTATATGTAATGTAATATGATGTACATATATTTCTTCTTCTTTTTTTTTTTTTTGCTGAGGGTAAGTTGCAGAGATCATGAACTTTTATCCCTAGATACTTCAGCATTTTTCTCTAAAAACAAGGACAGTCTTTTCCATAGCACACTGTAAAATCAAATCAGAGAAGTTAAACATTGATGT